TCTTTCCCAGCACCCATCATGGTGAGGTGCTGATCTCCTTTAGGGATGCAGGCCCTTCAGTAATGCAGCTTATACTGTATTTAGAAAGTCAGATTGTCCTGCAACATATCAGAAAAGATCATCTCTGTCCTTGAGCCAGTATGGCCAGCTCTGAAAACCTGCACACCTGCCCTGACACGTGACAGATTTTGGTCTGCAGTCTCATGTGCCGTATAGTCTTTGCCATCTAACAGCATGTGCATCCCTATCTGGTGGCTTCTGGGCTCCAAACATCACAGGTGTGAGATTACAAGGTGTGAAGAAACAATTTCAGATATTTTTAGAGATTCAGAAAACGCAACCCCCCCATCTCCTGTATTCAAGTCCACAGCAGCTGGACACATTACAAGAAAATGTACAATTAGACTATGGGAGATGGGCTGTTCTGCTGGGTGTTGTATGGAATGGCTTAAGTGCAGTGAATACAGATAAAATATTTTCTTTCCTTTTTGAACTGAGAATGATAATGTGGCTTCCTCTGTTGTTCCCTATAGCTAAGAAGGAAACAGACCCAGATGGCATCAGGAATGCAAAGGACAATGGCCCTTTCCTGGCCCAGTACAGCTCAATATAGGCTGGGTGCGACACAGACCTTGGTGATGCTGGGAAGATGGAAAAGGGTACAATCCTCAGTTTCAAGGAGCCCAGCCCTAGATTTGGGTTGGGTGGACATCGCTTAGTAGGTACATCAGAAAGTCAAGTCAGGGTTTAAGTATAGGTTCATTTACAGCAGTTTCTGCAAATAAGGACTTCTCTGATGCCCAGTAAAACCCTCTGTAACTGTGGAAAAGAAAGTGTTCTCATCTAAATCAAAAAAAAAGCTAGGAAAAATCTGAACTTTACATGGCATTTAGCACAGGTCTCATTTTACAGCTTTGAAATCTGTATTGAGCTCTCTGCCTGTTCTTATTATTACTGGAAACAAGTTGGCTTACTCCTAAGTGCTGGTAGTTGTGTGAAGTGACAAATTATATAAGAGAGAAACTCTTGTGTACAAACTTTTTTGTTTTGAGTCAGCAGTTTTATTTTCTTACATCAGTCTTTTCAGCAGAATAACCTATATTAAGGTGCCCACTGACATCTACTAGCAGAATTTCTTAGATTCTTCTGCATATTTTTTTGCATAGTTACTGTCACAACTCACTAATATCACTAATAAGTAAAATAGATAGATAAATATCACTAATCACATTCAGATGAGGTGGGGCTACAGGCTAAAGGTGGTGCCAAGATATAGGCAAGACTCAGTGAGTTGATTAATGCTTAAGTGTGTGAGTTCTAATTAATGCAATGAAAGAAGAATTGGATTGCCCAACAAACCCCATAGAAATCTTTAGCTGGGAAGCGACAGACAAGCTTCCGCAGAGCAGAACTGCTGAGTTCTCGGGTAATTGCCAGGGAAGCTACATCAGGAAACTGCCACATTCAGGTTAGACTGAGGGAAGTTGGAGGTAGGGTGAACCCCCTGCACAGCCAGGGAAAATGGTGCCATGGTTCCTTCTTTACTTCCACCCAAAGAAATTCTGCTGCTCCTCAAGATTTTGCTGTATGTAACCACCACTTCATACTGCTATTAGTCTGTGCTGTGCAGGTACCTGAAGTCTGCAGGGAAGGTGGTTTTCTGCATGCTGCTGTCTGACTGCAGTGATAAAGTCTCTCGCTGGAGCCAAGGCAGATCCTCATAGTTAAGACACAGTTCAGTTTACTTCTCAGTCTCTGTGCTTAAATGAACAATATAGAATATTAAATCATCGCAAACTGCAAAGGAATGCTCTTTTTAAGACCAGACCCTTAATCTCTTGCCACCTCGATCTCAAGCTCAACATACTACTTCCTGAAGCATCCTGTTACCTTTCCTTGTAAAGGCAAAATACTTCTAAGTCTTTCACTCTGGTAAATTCCATGTTTCTCAGATACTTTGTACAAAGTGTAGTAAGAAATCAATATACATAATAAAATAAAGCCTTTCCTGCTGGCCCCTCAGGAAAACCCTTTCATGTCTCTCAGAGATGTGCCCCAGCATACTTGATCCTAACTTTAATGCGAACTCTTCAATTTGTCCCACTGGTTTGATCTTAGGGGCAGTTATTGCTTCAGTCATGGCTAGCAGCTTTCCCTCTTGACCCTTGGGATTTTATCCTTCTGTTGGCCAGGCAGAGGTGGTAAATCAGATTTGAGCAATCCTTAATAACACATCAATATATGAGAGCAAATTTACTGCTTCGCTTCATTATTGCCTAAGGAATTTGCAGACAATTGTATTATCTCTTCATTATAGGAGGGGAGAAGGAATCCCAGAGGGAAGAAGACAGAAAAACTAATCTGCATGCATTTTGTTTTCTTTTCCAGGTATCTCCATCATCTACCCTTCTTGATGTGAAACACAAATTTCACAAAGCATGTAAGTACTATGGCTAGCAGGCTGGAGGCATGGTTAGAGGCCTTTCAGCTTGGAGAAGTTGTCAAATTTATTTTTCATGAAATCTCACATGAAAGCTGAGCCTGTCTTGACAGCTCCAACACTAAATGAGAGCAGTGTTTGGACTAAGGTTCTACTATAGCTATCCCAGATATGAGAGGCTGGAAAGAGAGAACTGCATTATTTATCACTGCCAGCCCATGAGGGGCAGTACTTCTCTATCCTCTTTTTAGCATTACACAGCAGCAATTCAAGACCACAACTGCATTTGCCCTCCCAGTGTTATATAAGTTAGATAAACTTTGATAACTTTAGTCTGCTTCAAGCTGGCCATAAACAGACCATGGACATCAAACAAGTACTGTAGTGGGGAACTCAGGTGCAGTGACTAAATGACTTAACTTGGATCATGCACACAATCTGACAGATTTCTCAACTGAGCCAGCCATGTCCAGTTCCTTAAAGGTCAGGACAACCTCTCTTTCTTCTAGTACCACTTTTTCTTGATGTGTGTGTTTTGTATCCATAAGGAGGGGAGAGGGCAATTTTTCCACATACATACTGCATATATGGACCTCATACATGAGAAGAGATGAGAGCAAACATACTCAAAAATCTCTTTTTTCTCCCTGTCAGAAAACAGAGCATTTTTGCTGGGTGCTTCCTTCCTGCCTCCTCCTAGATACGTCTCCTTTCCTTAGCAGAGGGAGGTAGATGGAAAGATGGGAAAAGAGCAATGAAAGTAGCTGAGCACCAGAGCTAGATGGCATTTGCCTTTATCCACTGACTTGATTTTGGGAGTGGGGCCAAATGTACCAGAAACCTACCGGATGCGTATGTGTGTATAGCATGCCTTGAGTTCTGAAATGCTAAAATACTGCTGTATCTGTGTTTGTAGAGATCCTAACTGTGCTACCCTTGCTCCCAGAGGGAGAAATGTTGCTCCCATTCTTGACTGTGAGAAGTAAGGTGCTACCTGTGCTGAGGATTTGTAACCTTGACTGTCAGTGACATCTGACATGTGCAGGTCTCTGCAAGGCCTGTAAACTTGAACTGAGTTTCTTAGAACTGCAGAGGTAATTTCTTGAACAGAAAAAGGTGCAACAAGAACTGAGGGTTGGAAGTAAAGGCCAGAGAAACTCAAATTAAGAATGAGATACATGATTCCAAGAGGCAGGACAGTTTACTGTTGGTGTAAGCATCTTAAATGATGGCCTCTCATTATTTTTACAAATAAAGAATATGTGGATGTATTCAACTAAAGGCTAGATGCCTTTTGCAAAAAAAAAAAAAAAAAAAGGTTTAATGAGACACTAATGCTCTGACTTCAGAGTAGGGCAAGTAGAAGAAATATTATGCTTGTCCTCTGTCCTTAGAACTGTATAAAGCATTAAAGCTGAAGGCTTCTATGGTTTGCACAACGATTCAGTTGCTGAAGCAAAAGGCTGTTGACCTGACTGCTCTAAAACTACTTGATTTCACTCCCTGTAAGGGCTTGTAAAATGCAAAATTGTAAAAGTTCAAAACCCCACAGCTGAATATGAAAAGACTGAGTGCATAATTTTTAATATTTCAATAAGAGTATGTCCTCCCAACAGTTTGTGAAGTGCAGTATATTTCTGCCTAGACTCTCTTAAATTGATTGAAACTGGATTTATATTAAGGCAGCTTAAACCAGCTGAAGATCATTGGCACAGAAGTTTATGCCAATTTAACTATAATGAGGTTTTTAATGGATTTGGGCTAAAATAGTGCAAGTCTGTGTATAAGCCATTTTAATGGCGACTGTGTTCATATTTAGAGGCATCTTAGTCCTCAATCTCAATGGTATAAGTGGAGCTGACTATAAAGGAAGACAGTAAGCAGTACAACAATGCATGACACAAATCGTGAATCAAAACTCTTTACAGTACAATGTTTTACTGCACGTGGAAGGGCTAGCATGTGCCTTCAATGTTTTTTCAGTTCTCAGTTTTTTTACGTCAATTCCTTCCATTCCCAAGAGTACACAATATCAGTGTCCTATGTCCTTTCTTCCCATTCCAGCTCATTGCTTTGATCTCTCTTTTTCAGTTCAGCCTGAATGTTGTTGTCTCATGAGGTTCCTCCCTCCTCCTTTTTTTCTGCTTGCAAAGCACAGGCCTTCACTTTTTTTCTCTTCGTGTAGTTTGGAGGATGACAGCTAACAGAATACAGTTCTTTCAGGCAAGAGCTGAGAAGAGGCTGAAGCTGATCTGTGGATGCCTTTGGTTACCGTGTTATTCTTTACTAGCTCATGCATTCATTTCTGTCATTTTGTGTGTGCCAGACTCACATGTTCCCCTATAATCTCTTGCTAAAACACACTCCTACACACACCCCTTTACAGTCTCCCTGTCTTCATATATTCTCTTTTGATCACCCATGCAATTAAGCTTTCTCCTCTGCTGGTATCTTGTCAGCCCTTCAGTGAGAGGAGCCCTGTGCAGCAATTTTGCAAGCCTCATCTCTGTCACTGATCAGTTTTCACTGCCTGATTCAAGAAAGGAGGAAAAATACTGCATTACGAATTGCAGCACAGGAAGCTGTTAATCTTTAAAATAAAAGAAATGAGATGCAAGTGACACATAACATGTTCCTGCTAAGTAGTTTATAAGTCAGTCAAACATCAGTCTGGATCTGTGTTCATATGAAAGGCAGAACATACACTTAGAAGTCCAGGAATAAATGCTGAAACACTCCTCAGCCCTCACTTCAGGAAAACTGCCTCTACTGAAACAAGCCCAGCAAAACTTTAAAGCTGTGCTTCCTGTGGCACTGAGTTCAGGGGGGCAATTCAAGCTTTATCACTGGAGATTCATGGATCTATGAGGTCTTAGCAGAGAGTCACCTTTTAAGACAGACTGTCATTTCCATAGGAATTCTGAGCCTTTCTCCAGACTGAAACCCCCTGTTTCAAATCAGCCCCTGGTCACTGTAGCCACTGCCCCTGGCAGGGATGGGCAGCACTGGGCAGGGTCGGCAGAGAACAGCAATTTCCCTGTTGAAGCCTTCCAGCCATCAACTCCACAGGGGCTTTCTGTAACAGATGTTAGATCCAGGCTGTCATGCTTAATAGCAAACATCACACCTGCCCACCATGAATCTGTCTAATCCTTTTTAAACCTACTTACAGTTTTGACCTCAACAGAATTATCTGGGAAGGAGTTCCAGAGTGTAAGTATGTTGCAGACAAACGACTCCACTTCTACTGCTTGATATTTTCTGCCTGAAATTGAGTGGAAGCTGAATTTCTAGGTGTTACCAGTCATCACACTGTAATATCTAAGGTATGGCCAAAGAAGTCTTAATCAAATTGTTGCTGTGCACTAGGTAACTTTACTACTATTTTCATAATTTCTTTGGCTAGTTGGCAGAGGTGAAACCAAGGCAAAAACTAAGTGTATCAGAGGGAAATATCTTGTCCCATTTTCTCAGCTGATTATGATGAGTTAGGTACCTGGCATTTTCTTTATCTATAAAGATTATGTTTTTGATGGAGAAAGAAATACTGTGTAGGCTAAACTTCACAAGCTCTTGTCCTTGGCAATAACTCTTCACCTTTAATTTATTTTTATCTTTGCAAAATGTATTGGACTGGTGGGGGAGGAAATCTTACAGATAGAAAATGAAATACTGTAATACTAATGCTAATTCAAGTATCACATAACTAAAATAAAATACCTCTAGAAGAAGTAATATAGTGTAGTCAGTGATCATTAAATATTTTCAAGGTTACTTCATGAAAGTGGCTGAAAAAGCTCTTGAAAGAAGAGGAAGAACAGAAAGGAGAGGGGAAAATAAGATCTCAGCAATAATCTAACAAACTCATGGGTGCAACCTCCTGCACAAGGAGGTAGCACAACTAGATCTACTCTTTGAAGTCAGAAGAGTGAGCTTAGGGAGGCCAGAAATTTCCCTCTAGATGGAAGGAGCAGGCAGGGAAGGAAGGGCAAATGGGAAGAAGCATGGTGATGGGCATAAGGAAAAGAGCAAGTTGAAGAGAGAACTGAAAACATCATGTGTAGAGTATCCCACTCAGTCTGCAGAGGGGAATGAGGTGTTCAAGTAATCAGGAACACTACAAGCCGCCAGCTGATACACTAAAACACTAACTCCTAATCCTTCACCTCCAAAATTGCAGGTCCCTGCATCCAAATCAACAGGTGTTACTTAGGGCATTTTAAATAAGCAATGTCAACAAAAGTAAATCACTCAGAAAGAAATTGTCAGTAGATGGCACTCAAGAATAAACAGCATCATTTCTGGGCACTATTAAACTTTAGAATTCTGCTATACCACCTTACTATTGTTTCTTACGGGTATTTCTGTAAGAGATCCTAAGAGGTTCTCTGTAAAATCACTGAGATACTTTCTGTTGCTTTCGTCTGGAGAGGACAAAGAGAAAATTCTTTCTTTATGGTGGGGATCAATCTCTCTTTGAGCATTCTCCTCACAGTCTGTAGGGTGGTATGGCAGGACGCATGCATATGCCAGGTTTTGCCTACTGCTCTCATCCTGCATGTTCCCCAGAAACCATAGGAGAACCCGCAGCCCCTCAGTGTCATCACCCTCCAGATCACCTGGCCAGAACATACCCCGTGTCTGACTCGCTGCACAAAAGCAAGACCAAAGGCTCCTGTGCACGCCCTTCCAATGTGTCATTTCACCAAGTCTACCAAACCCTTCCACTGACTTCCGAGTGAATAAGATCTTCCTTGAATAAGATCTTTACTGTCCAATACAAGGAGAGACCTTACAATCTCAGAGGACAAACACAAGCAGAAGTTCCATATCATGCAGTTCTTTTCCAGCTGCACAGGAGGCCTCTGCATATTCTCCCTCCTTCCCTTTTCAAAATGACCTGTTAGTGCCTCTAGCTCACTTCTCTTTGCAGTTGCCTGTCAGCTCAGCTCGTGCTGAGCAGCTGAAAGGAGAGTAGCACTTTAAAACCAACATGGTTT